GATTTTGGAGATCACACAGTCCAGCTTTTGCGGGGGATAGATAAAGAAGCAGAGTTGTAGAAGTGAAATGATTAAATGATTGGCCCAGGGCCTGCAGTTGATGACAGAGTTGGAGGTAGAAACCTTGTCCTATTCAGTACTTTGCAGTCTGCTTCTTCCCTGTGTCCCAGAGCTCAGATAGTCTTATTCTTTCGAGGACACTGGGGACTAGGCTTCAACTCGTTTATTACTAGGGTGTATGTTCACAAAGATCTTTTTAGCCCTCTCCATTATATACTTCTGAGCTCAACTGGGCCAAATCTAGGTTTAATTGAAAACAGCGTAGAAGCTATATTGATTCCAAATGTACACTCCAAGCCATGATCAATGAGAGAGGCACCTTAACATTTCAGAAGCAGTTTTGATTATCACAGCTCTTCACTGTAGCAGTTTTTTTGGTCTACACCTTTATTTAAAAGGTACCCTGTGGTGGGCTGGGGATTTAGCTCAGCGGCACAGTACCTGCCTGGCAAGCGTGAGGTCGTGAGTTCGATTCCCGGTACTGGGAAAAAAAAAAGGCATCCTGTAGCATCAGATTGTTGAAGCTTCATTCCCCTATGGGATTCCCATTCCATTTTGTCTGAAATCTGTCATTCCCCATTTTTCCCTACCACTGTGGTGCTGTCCTCCAACTAGCTGTCTTTGTTGTAATTTATTTTTAAAAATGGTAACAGTTCATTTGAAAAACTTAAAGTGAACAGTGAGGGAGAAACTGGCAATGCAGAGTGAGCTGGGGCCAAGTAAAAAAGGAAGAAGCAAGATAAAAGCACACCTGGAGGAGGCTGGGCTGTCATGAGGAAAGTCACAATAGCCACCTTTTTTTTTTTTTTTCTAAAGACAAGCCATTTGTTAAGAAGAACCTGGAGGGTGTGAATACTGTACCTGTCTAGAGACTGGTCCAGTGGCTTCTAAAACAGCCCCTGCTGCTTATCACCTGTGACCCCCTTCTGCCCTTCTCACTAACTTCTCTTCGGCTTCCCTAGTGTCTTTTTGTTCTTCAGAGGCATCAAGCAAAGTGGCTGCTCATGCTGCCCAGATGCGCCACTGCCTTCCCTCCAGCACTGAGCCAGCATGGAGGGTATTTGCCATCCATACAGCTTCATTAGGTGTTTTGGGAGCTCTGGAGGCAGGTTTTTAAGTACCAAGAACTCCTTCATCTTTTTTCAAGAACCCATTTTGCATTCTTAATATTAGCTACAAGCAAAACACTTTTCACATAGTAGAACTATTGTTTTGAGCTAAACCAGATAATAGCTCACCACTGTTTTCCCACCCAGTGGAACGTTTTCTGGGCTAGGGATGTAGCTTAGTGGCAGAGTGCTTTCCTGGCATGCATGAGACCTTGGGTTCTGTTCCCAGCCATGAGAGACGGAGGGAGGGAGGGAGGGAGGGAGGGAAGGAGAAGGAGAAGGAGAGAAGGAGAGAAGGAGAGAAGCAGAGAAGCAGAGAAGCAGAGAAGGAGAAGGAGGGACCATTTCTTTGCTTTTGAGCTAGCATTATATTCTTATAATGTAGCAGATCTTGAGGACTACATGCCTTATAAACCTGAGGATCTTCTAATTTTTGTAATGAAATTTGTATTTAAATGAAAGATTGGTACGAGCTCTCAAATGAAGTAGCTTTACTAAGTATAAGATGCTAAGAGTGCAACACTAATTAACCCATTATAGAATTAAATCAACTCTTTTTTGGTACCGGAAATGGAACTCAGAACCTTGTGCTTCTGAGTCAGGCCCTGCACCACTGAGCTATATCTCTGGCCCTAAATCAACTTTAGATGCTTCATACTGCTTATAACTTTTAATTTGAAAGATTTTTTTAACTATTAAAATTACACATTGCAGCCAGATGTGGTGGCACATGCCTGTGATCCCCATGGCGTGGATGCAGGAGGATTGGCACCAAGTGCAAGGCCAGCCTGGGCTACATAGTGAGATACTGTTGATAGAGAGAAAAAAAGAAAAGGAAAGAAAGAAAGGAAGAAAGAAATATAGTAGGGTCAGAAGGGAGGTGGAAGTAATAGGACTTTCTCAAAGATGACTGCTGCCGACACTTCTGGCCTTCCCACATTGCCATTGTGACCCTAGCTCTGGTGCAGAGATAGTGATAAGGGTGATGAGATCTGAAAAGCACAGTGGAGGAAATGCTCCTGCTGAGAATTCAGCACCCGTTAACCTTTGTACATGCTTGCTTTGTTTCTTATCTATCTGCACGTTTATATTGAAAAAAAATCCAGAGCAAATAATGTACAAGTACTTCATCTCTTTTTCAAAGGAATGTAGTGTTAGATAAAATCACATTTACCTGCTGTGACCCCTACTCCCATCATGCCTGTGGTCCTAGATTCTACCTAAAATACTTTTGCAACTTTGATGTATTTCTGGTACAGTTTTCCCATGATCACAGCATAGGGAAGAAGTATTATTGCTTTGTTTTAGTCTACTTAAATGATATGACAGTGTAAATACATCATTCTATTACTTTAGAGCTTTCTTTCTTTCTTTTTTTTGTCACCAGGAATTGAACTCAGGACCTTGAGCTTGCTATGCAGGCGCTTGTGCCACTGAGCTATATCTCTGGTCCTTTTCTTTTTTTTGAGACTTTAAAAAAAAATCTTTTTAAAAATACCTTTAGATCTCTACAAGTTGATTCATATTGCTGTGGTGCATTGTGTTTGGCTGTGTAGATTCCCAATAGGGGCATATTTTATAGTTCTGTAGTTCTAGTCGTATTGATAAAGGTTGGATTTTGGCTCTTTACTTTTAGAAACAGTGCTGCTGTAAATATCCTCACAGGTCATCTTGGACATCCATAAGTACTTTTGTAGGGTCATATAGAAATTTCTTCCTGACTTTTTTCTCCTTTTAATATTAAAATTTGAACATTTCCACTAACCTGTTACAGTCTCTTCATAAGCTACATACTCTGCAGTTTAGACTTGAAAACATCTTTTATTTCCTTGGTGAAAATTTAATACTAGATGCAAGCTGTTTTTGGTTTTTTGAAACAGTGTCTTGCTATGTAGTCAAGGCTGGCCTCAGTGAGCGATCCTCCTGCCTCAGCCTCCTGAGAGCTGAGATTACAGGCGTGAGCCACCACACCTGGTGTCACAAGGCCTTTTTTGCATTAAAGTAATTTGAACGTTGTAGAGTTGTCTTTCTTCATTCATTCATTCATTCATTCATTCATTCTTACCTTCTAAAACCAGAGCATTTATTGAGACTAACCGTTCAAGCTGTGAAGATGAACTGGATTCTGCAGCAGCTGCCTTCTTGGGTTTAGGTGTTATTCCTTTGTGGAGTCCATACCTGAATCTACAATGTACAGTTCTTAGGTGCCTTGTTAAACAAGTCCTGATGGTCTTTTAACCTTGGCACTACAGCTGTGCGTTCCTGTGCTTGGCAGCTGCAGTCACTGCTGGTTGGCTTCTGCAGGGGGTAGCTCCTAGAGTCACCCAGTGATACAGTAGTGTGCATCTTGTTATAATGCTTTCCAAACAACGGCATGGCTTGGTCAACTCACTTCTGCCAGTGAGACCCGAGTCTCGGGGTTGTCTTGACAGTAGTAGATGAAATTTGAAGCTCTTTTAACACAGAGGATTTAAAAACAAATTAGAAGCGGGATTAGTGGTTGGAGTGGCTTAAGCAAAGACTAGAATACCAGGAGTTTTATGTTCTTTTCTCCTGTTTTCTAGCTCAACAGAAGTGTCTTAAGATTTTAGAAAAGACATCTGTCACAACTCATTTGAGGCTTGTCCCCCACATGCGGCTGCCTCTGCATTTTCTGGTCTCTTCCTTTGTGTGTATGTGCGCTCTCCCTGCCTGTTTGCATTCCCCCGGCTGTGTTGGCACTTTGTGCATGTTGCAGTTACTTCTTTCTGTCTCTTGTCCTGTTGATACAGTGGCCTTTTCCAGCGTAGTGTACTGTCTTCCTTTTGTACTGCTTTTGTACATGCTCCCATGTAGGTGCTGGTCATATATGTTTGGGATAAAAGAGAAAGCTGTTAGGATAAGGTTAGGGGATGGCAATGCACACAGCGATGGTGAAAACTGCCTTAGTAAGAAGCTGGGATTTTATGGCAAGTGTGGAATGGAATAAAGGAGTCCTAAATGAGGAAATAAAGTGATGAGGACAGCAGAATGACAGCTATGCTGATGGATCGATCGCTGCTTTAGAATATTGTTTCTTACATGTATACATACTGACTAAACCACCGGCTTCAAGTTTGAAAATAAATCAGTTGCCCTTAGAATGTTGAATCTGTGTTTTACTAGGAATAGATTTTAAAAAGAAACTTAAATCCATTATAGATATAGCTATCTCAGAATTTTAAAAAATTCCTTGTCTCATTTCTTGGTTGCCTCAGTTTTAATCAAAATTGCGTTTCCTTGAATCAGTAGACTAAGATTAAGTGAGACATTCTGGTCACTGTTCTTTTGAAATCCTTTGTGGTTTGGAGCGTATTGCTCTAGCATGTCAGCAGCTTCATTCGTGTTCCGCACACGGTGCAGCCAAATGATGCCAGTACGTGAGCTTCAGAAAGAGAAGTCCAAGTGTTGAACCTTAAGTTTAGAGCTTGAGCAATAAAACTATTGGGTGGGAGACTCAGAGTGAAGTTTCTTAATTTTGATATTGATACTAGTTATGAATCATTTAGTATTATAAATTCTCCAAAAGTGAGTGCCTTTATAGCTCAGGAAACAATTGCTTTGTGAGATTATTTTGTATAGAAAGCTGATTGCTCCCAAAGTTTGCTAATAATAGAATTCATACTTATTTTAGTTTATTGAAGCTGTCAGGAGAATATATAATATTACCACTAGCCAAAGATCTGAGGTTGTAAATAACGACATGACCATTATCACCTTTTTCCAATACTGAAATTATTTCCAGGACTGACACACATTAAGACTCATTGTTCTGTGGATCTTTTTGCTGCTAATTAACATCTCTTTTTACAGGATTCATGAATAAAATTTTCCATCCCAACATTGATGAAGCGTAAGTAACTATTTAAAAATGTTTACATTTTATTTAGCAGCAACTGCTCTTGATCAGAGTGGATCTCTCTCTCTCTCTCTGTCTCTCTATTATAAAAGAACCCTGGGTTATCATTTTGGTTTTTATGGGAGGCAGGACTGTACAAATGGTCATTTGAACTATAGAACCCTAAGGAGATGGTATTCCAAATTACTGTGTTTCAGGTAGTCATTTCCCTTGTGATCCAGCTGACGTTTCTAATATTCCACATCTCCGTTCTTACTGTGTAGGCACAAGTCAGTGTCCTGTTTTCAGTTTGCAGATGTACTATTTTGAGCCCTTAAGGTATTTCTTAGTTTTTCAAGGAGGGGCTAATGTGAATGATTAGTTTCACTGTAGTCAGTGACTCTTAATTATCTTCTTTCCTTCTAGTATTTTATTAGTGATTTAAAAAAACTTTTTTTTTGGACACAGGGTCTCGCTATGTAGTTTAGTCTGGCCTTGAACTCACTGTGCAGCCCAGGCCAGCCTCAAACTCAGCAGTCCTTCTGCCTCAGCCTCCTGAGTGCTGGGGTTACAGGCCTGAACCACTACTCCCGGCTCTTAGTGATTTTAGGGGGTAATCAAACTCAGGGGGGCTGAGGATTTAGCTCAGCAGCAAAGCGCCTGCCTGGCAAGCGCAAGGTTGTGAGTTCAATTCCTGGTACCGGGGGAAAAAAAAACCAAAAAAACAACAAACTCAGGACCTCACACTTGCCAGGCAGGTGCTGTGCCACTGAGCTACATCCCCAGCCCTAGTGCCTAGTGATATTTTTGAATTTGGTTTTTTTTCTCTCTCTCTCTTTTTTTTTTTTTCTTTTTTTTTGGTACCAGGAATTGAACTCAGGACCTTGTGCTTGCCAGGCAGGCTCTTGTGCTGCTGAGCTATATCCCTGGCCCTAGTGATATTTTTGAATGATTCTAGTTATAGCCTATTTTATCCTCCCAGTGGTAGTTACAGTATGTTATTATTTGGACTGTTATTTTTACTTTGCATGGCATTCAGTGTTGCTGTTGCTCACATAACTTACATCTGAGGGTTCTCTGGACCTTTATGCATAGGATGTATACATACATCTTGCCTTTTTAATCCTTTAATTTTTCAGGGCTATCAGTCATCCTAACAAGCAAAGATGTTCTACTTAACCAAGTATGGATGTTAGATTTAGCAATTTAATACTGTGATAATTACCTAATTTTTTACCTAATAAACTGCCATATTGCAGCAATGTACTTTTTTTTTTTTTTTTTTTTTCTTTTGAGGCGGTATCTCTACCTTAGGCTGGTCTTGAACTTGTGGTGATTCTTCTGCCTCAGCCTCCTGAGTGCTGGGATTTTTTTCTTTTAGGAAAAGGATTTAGTCCAGAGTCACATTGTAATCAATTGTGCTTCTTTATACAACTATAATGTGGAACAGTTTCTCAGCCTGCATTTTTATAAAGTTGACATGTTTAAAGATGATAGGCCAGTTATATTGAAAACTGGCCTTCAGTTTGAGTTTGCTCGTGTCTTAGTTAGGTTCAGGGTGTGAACACACTCAGCCGCACAGTGGGGGCTCTGGCCTTTGTCTCCAGTGTGAATTCTGATCACCTGGTCACCATGTTCCATCTCAGTCTGTGGAGGGACACTAAAGCCTTGTAAACATTCTTCTCATCATGCTTTCTCCCGATTTGGGTTTGGTTTTGTTTTTAAAGGATTTATAAAAACATTTCAAGTAAAAATTAGTTGCCAGATACCTGTTTTTTTAAATGCCATTCTTTCCATCTGTTTCAGGTCGGGAACTGTGTGTCTAGATGTGATTAATCAGACCTGGACAGCTCTCTATGGTGAGTTTGGCCGTGGAATATTTTTTGGAGATGTTGAGACACTGCCTAAAATAATGTTGTTTGGCTTTCCTGACTTAAGATGTTTTATTGGGAATGGGAAGTGATTTCTGAGGGATGGATGGGAAATTTTGATCAGTGAAAAAAAATTTTTTTTCTAAAGTACAAACTTCTGCTTAAAATAATTCTATGAGATTCTGAACTTGTTGGTTTAGTTTATACATAACACATACATAAGCATAAATATTCACATATGTGTGTATTCAGAAGCACATTGTATGTGCATGTTTATATGTATATCATTTAATTTTGAAAGGCTCTCAGGAATGCCTCTCTTCAGTGAGGTGAATGGTGCAGTACAAGGCTCCAGGGATCACCTGTTTCAGAGGCCAGAAGCGCCGTGTGGAGCAGTGATTAGCCTGTTTTTGGTACTGAAATTGATAACTCACTTCTTGCAGTCAGTCAACAGATGAGTGACCCAGCTCTGCACAGTTCACTGGACCTCACTGAGAGAGAGTTAGGCTTTCTCTCCTTGAGCTTTAACTGCTTAGGGAGCTGAGAATTTTCTAAAATATATTTAAAGTTAGAGGTGCAGCAGCTAGGCTTATTCTGCCTCCATGTCTAAGTCCTCAGCTTCGTATACATCCTATGCTCTGGTGACCCCATCGCGTCGGGCTTCCCTGATTCTCCTGGGAGTCATCTCTGGGTACCCTTATACTCCATAGGTCTTTCTTATGGTTCACTTTCACTTTTGTACGTTGTATTTGTTGTTTATGTCTACAATTTTTGTCCTGCTAGATAAGTTTTCTCCCTGAAAGGCTGTCACGTAAATGTCTGATTTGCCTTTAAGTCCTTGGGCTCCTGACACAATACCTCTCAGCAGTAGGAGTTGCAGGAATGAGTGGCACTTGTAACAGTTGAAGGGCACAGGGAGAGGAAGGAAAGATCACTTACAGCTGGGCTTAGCCTTCGATGGCTTCCTTTAGTTAAAGCATTGTGAGACCTTTAACCACCTCTACAGTGGAAAGGTCTCTTCGTCCGCCCACAGCCTGAGAGTCAACTTTGCCAGGCCCTGTTGTACCAGGTTGGTGAATGAGAATCAAAGAGGAAGGTTGGTCATAGCGAAACAGTTAACCCCCAACCTTGATTCTGTCATTTAAAAATTATTTTCTCTATCTAGAATTCTCTTCCCTGGTCTTCGTATAGCTAGGACCTTTCTTTTCTCACTTCAAGCATCATCTCAAGAGAAGCCACTTGATTGCACAGCACCTTGTTTTACATAAGTTTTTAAGAAATTGTTATTTATTGTTAATCTTGTCCTTTTAAAGTAAGTGCCATAGGGGCTGGGGATTTAGCTCAGCGGCAAAAGCGCCTGCCTGGCAAGCGCAAGGTCGTGAGTTCGGTTCCCGGTACCGGAGAAAAACCAAAA